TTGAAATTAACACAACTTTTCAGTAAAGTTTATAGAGTTCCAGATGAGTAGCTACTACTGCTAGCTGTGTATAGTGTCAAAATAAAAATATAATTAATGGAGTAATACTTTAATCTCTATAACACTGAGTTATTGATTTTTCACTCCAGTTTGTTAACATGAATTATAATATTTCCACAATCAGTCCAACCTACTTCCTTTATAGTGCATGGTGATTCGTTTTTAATAAAATTTTATTTTTTAAGTATAAAAATGGGTTTAGCTGATCTACATGGACATGTTGTTTGATTGTAGTGAACTTGACTGTTGGGACAGTAGAGAAAACTGTGTCCGGTTACATGTTTTTGTTTTGCTGGAGTTCAAGTTCAGTGAGAGTAGTGGGATTTACAGCAGACTGAACGTAACATTAATCAAACACAGATAAACAAGCATTTTCCAGCCACGGTGCAACATATCTACACTTAAGAAAATAAACTGTCATTTTGCACTAATGGAGATCATTATTATTCACAATCCTTCGCATCGCTCTCACCTTTAACTCTTCATCTGATGCCACTTTCATGGTCATGGAAACAAAATCTTGCAGATACCTTTTGCAAAATTCTCTCTTCATTTTTTCATTAGCTTTTTCTGAGATGTAAGTGCCAAGTGGAGTTTCCAAGAACAAATCATAGAAATGACGAACTGAATGAGCTGAAAAAACACAAAGTTGGGAGAGTCAGTAATCTTTTAGATTTTAATCTAAAACTTTTTTAAAATTAAAATTAAAGTGCAACTCTTAGAAAGTGAATATCTACATATGTTACTTGTAAAATATATATTTACTTTGATGTCTGGATGTTTGCATCATGAGCCCATCTAGGAACTCTTTGATCCACCAACTGAAGGGCAGGCGGCAGAACATGGTATGGCCACCTGTGACATGGCTTTGTACCATTAATACTCTGGAGAAGTGAGAGAGTCAGAAAAACAAGCAAACGAAAACCATTAGGGATGTTTTTTGAAACAGCTACTGTGATTTACTTTAGTGTAAATACAATTTTCTTGTGCCAGATCATTAAAAAAAATAAGAGTGTCTTGTCTTTCAACAATACAAATTAGATGTAAATAAAACAATATGCACTGAATACATCGGCCACTTCTTTGGCTCTTCAACTGCTCATTAACTAAAATTTCTAATCAGCCAACGACAGCAACTCAGTAGACGACCACATGTATTAGGTGGTACTTGATTGTAATGGAAAACCAGCCGATCTGAGTGGAATCGTGGCGAGTTGATCCAAATAGGTACTAATGGAAAATAGGATAAATAGAAATAACTGCGTGATTATTATGCCGCACCACGCAAAGCGACCTATGTGGAAAGCATACTGGCACCCTAATTCAGAAACTGCTGATCTACTGAGATTATTCCACAGAACCATCTCTATTGTTGCACCTCTAAAGCCACAACACATCAAACCCTGAAGTATATTGAAAAACTGGAAAAATAAAAAAACTGGAAAAACCGTGCCTGGTCTAATGGTTCTTGATTTCTGCTGCTTTCAGATGGTAGCTCACAATTTGGCATAATCAAAATGAAAGTATGGAGCCATCTTGCCTTGTGTTAATTGTTCCAGCTGCTGGTGACAGTGTGAGGAGTACATAATATTATAAATATATAAATAAAAAATATTATATTTTTGGTATAATTTGGGCCCCTTCGCATAAATTAAGAATGGTTTAAACAGCCACAGACATAGTGACGGTCATGACTATATCCATCTCATGGGCACATCCTATGGGTAAAGTGTGCTTCTCTAGGAATGAAGTGCCATGCCACAAAGCTCAGATCTTTAACTGGTTTCTTGAACATGACAGTGTTCTTCATGACACTGTCTTCAAATGGCCTCCACAGTCACCAGATCTCAATCCACTAGAGAACCTTTGGGATGTTGTGGAATGGGAGATTTGCATCATGAACAAGCAATCAAACAGCAACTGTGCAATGCTATCATGTCGATGCGGACCAAAATCTAATTGATGTTTCTAAGACCTTAATGAATCTTTGCCATGAAGAATTAAGACAGTCTTAAAAGCAACAGAGGTACTGGCCGAGAATGAGCAAAATGCACCCATGAATTGGCCAGTAACTGTAGATGCCTACATTCTCTAACCAAGAGATACCTACTTATTTTCCACCCTGACATAAGGCAAACTGAGCATCTCTTTGTTTCCAAAAATCTCAAGCCACAAGTTCACAATTTGTTCTTCATCTTCCAGGAGAAGGTCCATATTGCAATCTCGGTCAATGACTGAGACCAGGTAGGCTAGAAGTGGAGTGACAACTGCTTGGATTTTCCTCCACAGTGTGTGCCTGAAAGAAATAATCATACAACATTCTTAAAATTGAACATAAATTTGCTGATATCTACTCAAAGTTACAGCTGAGGCAAGTCTGTCAAATGAAACCAAATCTGTTTGCATTTCTTTATGTTTGACGCAACAAACCTATCGTTCAATAAATTGTGAATAAATGTCAGAAATAACTGCATTTAAATGTAACAAAAAAGTCAAATGCAGACCATCAGAGTGTACAGCAAATATTAGAGGAACTTACAGGAAAGTCCCTCCTTCTTGAAGAGCACTGTCATTAGATGCCTCATTTAGGACCCAGCTTTTTAGAATGGGCATATTGACCTCATTGTCCTTTAACAGTGAGTGAAGTCGCTTCCTCACAATTTTTGCAAACAATCCTTGGAAACAAAATTAACTTCACATCACATTGTTGTATTTTGAATGCAGTTTCAGTATAGTGGTGCCCAGCACAGGACTGATGTTAAAAGATCATCTTTACTGACTTATTTTCTAACCTTGAGTATGGTTTCCATCCAGAAGAGTGAGCAGATTCTCAACCCTCTTAGTGCTGAATTCACCACTGTTTGCTTCATCTCTCAGCATGCTCACTGCACTCTGAACACAACTTCTCACCAAATTTGTAGTATCAAACAAACATTCCAATGCCTGAAAAGAATAATTAATAGCACCAGCACACATACACACTAGTTATTCACAACACTAAAATCACTGCAGACAACAAAGGTAAAAGAAAGAAACTGTGGACAAATGTTAAAACTATTCATTCAGCAGGTAATTGGATTGCACTTTGATGGAAATACAGACACTATTCTTTAAGGTAAATAACACTTAAATGGCACTGTAAATAATGTGGTAAATAACACTTACAGTGGAGTCATATTTCTGTGGCACACCAGTGGAGTCTTCTTTCTCTATGGCTTTGAAAGAGAGAGAATTTTGCATGTTTTCTTCCATAATATACAAAATATAATGTAGAAAAAGGATTTGATTAATTACCCTCAGATGGATCTTTAAAAAGATCACTTATAAGTTTATTTTTAAGGGAAAGAGCATCGGAAAGAAACTCTTTTGATCTTCTAATATCATCAATGTGAACAGACCTCCAAGGACCTGAAAAAGTCACATTAAGAAAGACGTGAGTTTCAGCTGATATTTAAAGTACATTCCCTTTTTTGATGTTTCACTTTTGGTGTTACATAACAACATGCTGTGTTTTGTATATTGTATATAAACTAATCTCATGACTATTAGTGTTTTTGTGTTATTAAAACATGTTGTTATGTTTGCAGATGAACGACAAACCCTCATCCCACTCTTGTGAGGGTTTGATGAAATCTTTCCCTGACTCTCCAGGCACTATGGACTGGATAATACATATATAATCTGCAACTTATCAACAACCTGCGCAAACTCCTTTGATGTAAAGTTGGTTCCTTGGTCAGTTTGAATAGTCTTTGGGAGCCCGAAGGTAGAAAGAAACTTAATTAGTGCCTTTATTACTATTTTGGCTGTGCCTAGTGGAATTACCCGTAACCTAAAGTTGTCATTCCTAGCATTTGTTTCGATGTCTCCCTACAGGAAATGGAGACCTCCGTATTGCCAGACAAGCTTATCTCAATCAATCACAGAAATAGCCAGAAGCTCACCTATCCCAGATAGCAACATTGGTATGGCCTGGATCTGGCCCACACAATGTGCTTACACATGGCCCACATACCGCAAAGAATGACCCTTTGGTGGCCCAGATCTGGTTTGCCAGAGGTGGCCCACACATGGGCCAGCACAAGGCCAGTTGCAGACACACTGCTGGCCCTGTGCTGGCCCAGAACAGTTTCAGCTCTGGCCCCAGATGTCAGCCTAATGTGTACCTTATCAAGCCATGTAATAACAACATGTGCTGGAACATAATAGTGCAAAAGTAACATGACAAAACTCTGTTCAGACAGTGAATGGACTGATTCTTATATAGCGCTTTTCTACTCTCCCAGGATTACTCAAAGTGCTCTATACAACATGCCACATTCACCCAATCACACACTTTCTCTAAACTGAGTGCTTCCTAACTACATTCATACACATTCACACTCTTAACATGCACACTGCATAAGCCAGGGATCGGACCACTAACCTTGCAATCAGTAGGTCTACCTCCTGAGCTACAGCCACCCAGTGGTAAACATGAGTAAACCTTCACTAGGTTTTGGATAAAGTGTACACTCACAAACCTGTCAAACCTGCATTTGAAACGTTGGCTACCATAGCAGTATAATTGCAACATGGCATTTGGGTCTTCTAACTAAAATAGGAAAATAGGAACATAAATAGTGCCATCACTGCCAGACCTGGCCCACATCTGCTATGACACTAGTGGCTGATCCAGGGAAGACCTGTTTTCTATGAGTCTGGGCCACATAAACCAAACCACAATCGGGCCACAAGTGGCATGCCATCACATAAATAGTGCCATCATTGCCAGGCATCTGGATGACATACCACTTACCATGCCAGAAGTCAGCCAGCAGTGCTGGCTTGACACCAGATGTGCTGGCTTGACACCCTCAGGATGTGAGCCGACTATTCCAGAAACAGAAGCCCAGGAAAGGCCCCGGACCAGACGGCGTCTCACCCTCCTGCCTCAAAACCTGTGCTGAACAGCTGGCTCCCATCTTTACTCGCATCTTCAACAGATCCCTGGAGCTGTGTGAAGTTCCCTCCTGCTTCAAACGCTCCACCATCATCCCTGTTCCCAAGAAACCCACCATCACAGGACTGAATGACTACAGACCTGTCGCCTTGACGTCTGTGGTCATGAAATCCTTCGAACGACTGGTGTTAGCCCATCTGAAAGACATTACAGGCCACCAGCTGGACCCTCTGCAGTTTGCCTACCGGGCAAACAGGTCGGTGGATGATGCAGTGAACATGGGGCTGCATTACATCCTGCAACACCTTGACCGCCCGGGAACTTATGCCAGGGTCCTGTTTGTGGACTTTAGTTCGGCTTTTAACACCATTGTGCCTGAACTTCTTTCCTCCAAACTCTCCCAGCTCAGCGTGTCACCAGCTACCTGTCAGTGGATCACCAGCTTCCTGACAGACAGAAAGCAACAAGTGAGGCTGGGGGAGATCACCTCTGAAACCCGGTCCCTCAGTATTGGTGCCCCTCAAGGATGTGTCCTCTCACCACTACTGTTCTCCCTCTACACTAACGACTGCACCTCCAAGAACTCGGCTGTCAAACTCCTAAAGTTTGCAGATGACACCACTGTCATTGGCCTCATTCAAGATGGTGATGAGTCTGCATACCGGCAGGAAGTTGAGCGGCTGGTACTCTGGTGCAGTCAGCACAATCTGGAGCTGAACACTCTTAAGACTGTAGAGATGACAGTGGACTTCAGGAGACATCCCTCAACTCTGCTCCCCCTCACCATATCAGACAGCCCTGTGTCAACTGTGAAGACCTTCAAGTTCCTGGGTACAACCATCTCCCAGGACCTGAAGTGGGAGACCAACATCAACTCCATCCTCAAAAAGACCCAGCAGAGGATGTACTTCCTGAGACAACTGGGGAAGTACAGTCTTCCACAGGAGCTGCTGATCCAGTTCTACACTGCGGTCATTGAGTCTGTCCTGTGCTCCTCCATCACAGTCTGGTATGGAGCAGCCACTAAACAGGACAGGAGCAGACTGCAGCGGACTGTACGGGCAGCAGAAAGGATCATCGGCACCCCCCTGCCCTCCATCCAGGATCTGTACCTCTCAAGAACCAGGAAACGGGCAGGGAAAATCATCACAGACCCCTCACACCCTGCACACAGACTTTTTGATCTGCTGCCCTCTGGCAGACGGTACAGAAGCCTGCAGACCAGGACCACCCGACACAGGAACAGTTTCTTTCCCCTCGCCATCTCCCTTCTTAACAGTTGACCTGTCACACTGCTCCCACTGCCAGACTGCAGCTGCACCTTATGTACATTTTGTAGTATTCATTCCACCTCATTCATTTCTGTATTTTATGTATATAAGTTTAGATTCGTTATTTATAGTTGGTTTACACAGCTTTGTGTATGTATGTGTAATGTGTATATATAGACACGTGTGTGTGTGTGTGTGTGTGTGTGTGTGTGTGTGTTGTGTGTGTGTGTTTGTGTGTGTGTGTGTGTGTGTGTGTGTGTGTGTGTGTGTGATTTACATTGCTGTGCTTGAGAGCCACCATCTACCGGAACCAAAAATATCCCTAGTATAGTAAAGTACATAGACAACATATAACTTAGGCACAAATAACAAACAGACTGAGAATTAACATGATTACTGATTAAACATGATTAACTGAATAACCTGCAACCATGATAAAAAGACAACTTAAAGTCCAAATTAGTATCCAAAATATAAACATGCAAAAAATTTCACAAAACAAGTAAAAAAAGAAAGCTATGCAACATATATAAGTAATACAATATCTATCAAGAAGAAGAAAAGAGGAGGAGAAAAAAGAGAAACAATAAGCGAAACAAAAACAACAAAGGAAACAACAATAGACACCACACACAACCAATTAGCACAAGAGACATGAAGGTAAATGGACTAAATCCAAAATAAACAACACAACTGGTACATAAGAACCAACAACAAAAAGAAAGAAATAAACTAGAACGACACAAAAATGAAAATGAGAAATGAATAGATATAGTAAAGTGTGTAAGGAAAATGTCACTGACACATTTAGCGGAGTCTAAAGCTAGCAGCAAAGCTGTTTTCAAAGACAAATGCTTTAAATCAGCCGCCTGGAGAGCGTGGCCAGCCTGCCCTTGTCTCCTGCCTGAGTAGGGGTGTGGAGGTGGCTGGGGCTTCATCCGTTTGGGGATTCTGAACTGAGAATTCCCAAACTGAATCTCGCCTCAGATTTCTGCTGCATGGAAGCCAGTGCAGTCTCAAAAATTCTGTTAGGCACAATTGGCATGTCCAAAATGTCCATCTCCTCCCTCTCTGACAGATTTGTGAGGTTGAGTCATGTGATTTGCTTCTGCAACACCATCATCCCCATAGATTTCCCTGTGTCTTGGACTGTGCAGCACTGCATGAGGAGGCACATGTCCATGATTACAGTAATCTCTTCTCACACATTCTGGGCACTAGCCGCCTCACATAGCTCTGCCTGGTAAGCAGCTAGCATGGAGGAAACATTTAGTCATGTTGTACTGAAAGTGGTCTGCCTTCGATGGGAGTGTGGGGTTCCAGCTAGGTCCAGCTGTGAGCCCCAGCTGGTGCCAGCCTGAGATTCGGCTTCCACGAGTCCTTCCTTTTCGGCACTATCGGCGGCAGTTTCACCTATGGGCAAGAAGGGGTCTGTTCCCGACAGGCTAGGTTGGTGCGCTAGCCATCATTGGAGACACTTTTTGTTGAACCGGGCACAATACGGACATGAACCGCAGGCTTCAATTGCAAGTTGGGCATGTTCCAGCCTGAGGCAACACAAGCAGTTCTAGTATGTGTCCTTAATCAAGATTCTGTTGCTGCATAAGCAGAGTCGAGAAATGTGTGTGTGTGTGTGTGTGTGACACAAGACTAACCTCCTTGAAACCCAACATAGGAAGTTCCACCCTCCATGCGCGGTAGTTTGATGACAAAGTACACAAATGTCTTTATGGCATCAGTAGTTTGACACTTGTTTACTTCGCTGAAGCATGCATACCTTAGGAATCCGAACAATAAGTAAAAGACAAAAAGAATGAGAGATGTTGCACTAATGTCAGCAAGTTATACAAAAGTAAGAGATGGTGTGATGATCTTCTCACTCACTTGGCTGAGGAAATAATATTCTTTTTGTGAAATCCTTCATCATACTCTGCTTGGATAATGAGGACTTTGTCTGTGTGTGTTGAGCTCAGAAAATCCCTAGTATTGAGACATAAATATCTTGTTATATTGTAATTAATATGTTTGAAAAAAAAAGAATCATAACTAAAGAGCATGTTGATCTATTAAATAAGTATTCATTGTAAACACTTCTAATAAGAAGGATCACAAGATATTAAACCACAAGAGTGTGGAAAAAGGCAGTTACTCAGTTTGATTAAAATGAACACCTACAGATCATATATATTTTCTTTATATGCATACCTTATTTTTTTGAGGAATGAGTACTGAGTGTCAAACTGCTGCAGTGATAGCAGCTGAACAGCATCAAGGTTTAATAGGCTCTGCAGGTGTTGAGTATCCACGGCAGTGAGCAACCTGGAAAAGGTTGTAACCTTGAAAATGCCAAAGAACCAAAGATTACAAAATATTACACTCAAATTTTTATTTCCCAAGAGTAAAACAGAAAAAGCCTTATAGTGTGTTTATGTTTTTTATGTATCTTTTACATGTAATCCTGTAAAATGTATAATGCAGACCATAAGCTGCTTGGAATTTTGATACTCTCTCATTAAACAAATTCTCTTTCTGAATTTCAGGTTTTCATTCACTGAGCCCTAGTGAAATTTTTAAATATATTTTAATAATATCAAATAAATATATCTACTTTTTGTTAGAATATTGAAGAATAAAAATATCCAATGCAAACTTTACAAAAGTCTTAGTAGAAATAGTATGAGCAATTAAGACTGTATCTAGTAAAAACTAGTTGTAACATTAATTGATTGCATAATTATTATTATACAATCGAAGTTAATATATCTTCTTACAGCACAGTCATTATGCCCATAAATTAGAGGCATGTTTTCACTTCTTGATTTTAATAATATCACAGTACTCTACCTAATTTTTTAATACATTCCTTTGAAAAGCAAACAAAGAAAAATTACCTCAGTGAATAAGAAGTGTGACTGCTGGGGCTGCTGGATGTGATACACAATGTAGTCTCCCAGTGAACTGTGCCTTGCCTCTTTAACGTATTCTTGCATTAAATGCTCTCGTTCTGCATTAGGCAGTTTGGATTTGTCCAAACGAACAACTGAGTCCGGAGTGGCACAGTTGAGCAGAATGCCTTTGGCTTTGTTCAGAGTGACCTGAGCATCAGTCTCAGTACTCTCACACTCTGTTACTTGCATGACCACAGAGGAACAAGTGTCTGAGTGATAGCCGATGAACACATCACTTGGATCATACTTCTCTTCTGAGGAGACAAATTTATTGACCCATTCCTCCAGTTGTCTGGCAATAACCTTCTGTTCCTCTGTGAGGACAGTTTTGATGTCAAGGTAGTGTTTCTCCAACCTGTTAATGAGTGGTATTGGAAACTGCTCATAAACCACTTCCTTTTCTTCAATGACGATGAGCTTGAAGTTTTCGTGAACTCTGCATTTCACACGATGTGTTCCCAAACCAAGATCAACGTATTTTTGACCTCCGAGCGTCACATAGTACTGATTTAGAGCATCATACAGACTTTCATACAGATTTTGAAGGTTGAGAAGCACAACTGTCTGTCCTGTCTCCATGCACACCTTGACACGATTTATGTTTCTGCAAATTTGTGTGTACTCCTGATCTTTCGGGAAACTTGACCCAAAGATTATCTCTGGGTAGATTTGATGAGAGCAGAATATCTGTTGAAGAATCTGAAGAGCTGCATAGTTTTTTGTGAGTAGCAAAAGATACCGGCTTTCCTCCATTTGGGAAGCTGGACAAATGCTTTGCTTAACCAAATCAATAGTTGGGATTCTGACATTGGCAAAGTCATCTCTGAGTTCATTGCGGAATGTGTCAATTACATCATCATCATTTTTTCCGCTGAAGTTTCGCAGGACTGCTCTGGTGATTTGATCTGCTTTAGGAGGTTCATTAGATGTTTTGGTAATTGAAAATAACATTTTTATCAGACTGTAGAAATCCCGCAGACCAAAAAATCCGTTGCTTTCATTGCATACTGTCATATATGCTTTTGCAAAAGGTTGGAACAGGTGTTTGATCTTTTCATGTTGATCAGAGGAGCAGATTCCTGTGGCACTTTTGATGAGCTCTTGCTCATTTAAATCTCCACGGGCCACAAAAATTCCACGATTCATCTTGGCAGGATCCAGTGCCCAGTTGGAAATTCCAATGAACCCAACCCTTTTATGAGGTTTTGGCTCATCATCAACACAACCCTCTTCCAGTAATGGGTGCAGTGCTTTCAGTGGCATTTTCGGGGAATCCTCAGCCAATCCAATCTCATCAAGAACAACTACTGAAATATATTCGTCCAGGTTTTTGCTTTCTTGAAAGCGAGCACATTGCTTGAATGTATTGATGATTCCTTCTGGAGTTGAATGGGGGCTACACTGGAAAGACACCAGATGTATTTGCTTCAGCTTCTTGTAGAGGTCAGAATGTGATGTGGGACCTTGCATTGCATTTGCAACTAGAGTTTTAGACAGTGATTTGGAGCTTCCTGGTTTCCCAACAATAAACAGGGGAATTCTCAGTTCAATGCAGACCACCATCATGAA